ATTGAATTTTTAGCTTAATAATTATTATTGCCTCGGCAGGTACCTATGTGTCCATAATTTAATGTCAGCATTATTTAAATATTGGGAATAGGTATTTGATGTAATATATTTTTAATTGAAAAAATTTACAATATATTCTCATTGATTTGTTGAATATTCTATAAATCACGTATTAATTAAAAACTTGAAAATTAAGACACGTTAAAAGTTTATAAAATAAATATGATATTAGACAATATTTTTATGTAATAAAAATATAAAAATAAAACTTGTATTAAATTTATTACTATTTTATAAAATATACTTTGATAATTTAAATTTATGTTGTAGTCCTTAATAATATAGTAATTATTTAAATTATTATGAAAATAATTAATAATTAATAATTTCAAATTATGAAAAATAAAGAGTTTTGGAAGTTAAAAAATTATTAAAAAGTTAAAAAACTAAATATTCTCTAATTAAGAAATTTATAAAAATAACATCCAATTGAATGTAAATTATATCAAATACCTTTTTTCAATATATTGAAATAATGTTAACATTAAATTATAGAAAAGTATTTACTTTTAGAGTGAATGATAGTTGTAAAGCTAAAAATTGAATCAAACACAATAACAGTACTGCCAGATGATTAAAACGACAAATCTTCAGACTTTTCTTATTTATCTTCAGAAATCTTTAAATTAGTCAAAAAACTTTCTTCAGATTTTGGTTATAATTTTTAAATAAAAATAAAATTAATTAATTAATATTGCTGTGTTTGAATCTGTTCGCAATTTGAAAGTAAAAGTTTTCAATGTTTTTAATTTTAAAAATTAATGCACTGAAAATGATTAAATTCTTGCAAACTTTTTATTGAGAAATTTGGAAATAGTTAGTCATTTGATTTTTATAAAAAATTTTTTTAAATAATTCAATTCTTTCCAAAGAATGTTTTATTAAAATTTTTTTAAAATAATTTAATTCTTTCGAAAACTGTTATTAACATTTTTGAAAATAATAAACAAGAATAATTAATTATGTAGGTAGTTAATCTGAAATTAAAAAATTAATGTTTATATTTGAAAATATAAAATTTTTTGATTTGCAAAATAATAAATGGAACAGTAACAATTACTTTAGTAATTAATAATTATTATATTTATTATTATAATCATAAAAACGTAAAGAAAGAAAATTATAATTTATCTTTAAAAAATGGTTTATTTATATTATTTTAATGTTTATAAATATTTTCATTATTACTTGATATATACACAGTCTTCACAAAATTTTCAAACAATCTTCAAGTTTTTACTATATTTCTTCCAATCTGTCAGCAAGGCATAATAATAACATAAACATTGAAAAATTTGACATTTAAAAATTTAAAAAATGCCAATACTTAACCCACAAAAATTAATTTTCAAAACAAACAAATGAATGCAGATAATTTGCTAACGGAAAGGAAACTTACGATTATTATAATGTATTTTTTTTAGTGTAAAGGTTCGAATGCTGAATTTAAAAAACATTTGAGTTCCGAAATGTCTCGAAAATTTGACAAGAATTTTGAGGATTTGTCTTTGAGACAAAAGAGAAGACGTATTTCTGCACTGCGAGACTCTATTCATAACGGTAATGATGATAGCTCAAATTCCTCAACTTCAGGGAGATCGTTAATTGAACCTTCTTTGGAAGATGGAGAAATTGCTGAAGTGCCAATTGCAGAAGCTTCTTCCGAAATTTCAGATGATGAGCAAAATTTATTGGACGTTACAGATTTATCTGATGCAGCAACTGCATCCTCTCACGAAGAACAATCAAAAGAAGATAGTGATGATGATAATGAAGATTATGCTGATGATAATGATGAAAGCGATAACAGCAGTTTAGATAGCCAAAATCCAGTGGATGAAGACATTGCAACAATTTCAAGAAGAAAATTGAAAAATGCATTTTTGAATGCTGGTTTGACACATCAACAAGGAAATAAAATATTACAAACTTTAAGAGAGGAACCATTCAATTTATTACATTTACCTAAAGACAGTAGAACTGTTTTGAATACTCCAACGTTCGTTGCCAGTAGACTTATTCATCAGATAGCTGGTGGAGAATATCTACATATAGGTTTTAAAGCCAATTTGTTAAAAAAATTAGAGTCGATTGATGAAAATAAATTACCGGAATATATTAATAGATTTTAGCACAGATGGTGCTCGGTTAAATAAAGAAAACAGTTGTCAAATTTGGCCTCATCAATTTCGAGTAGTAAATATTGTTGACAAAAGACCGATTGTAGTTGGTGTATTCAAAGGAGGACATAAACCTTCAAATGCTCACGACTTTTATGACCCTTTTATCACGGAAGTCGAAGAAGTGATTGCAAATGGTGGCATCGAAATTAAAGGTCGACGACTTCCTTTACGAATAAGATGTTTTATTGCAGATGCTCCAGCTCGCGCTTTGGTATTAAATCACTTTGGAAACAACTCATATTTTCCTTGTTCGAAATGTAATGTTGAAGGATTTCATGATGGTCAAATGTTTTATCTTAATATTCGAAACCAACCACGTACAAATGATCAATACAGAAACTGTAGTGATGAAGATCATCATCGTGGTCCAAGTCCCCTATCACGTTTACCAATCGATTTGGTTACCGATGTGCCATTTGAAGTCTTGCATCTAGTCTATCTCGGAAATGTAAAGAAGGTGATTCATGCACATGTAACTGGGACGTTTCTACCATGTGGTAAATTACATGTTCGAAAATTAGAAATTCTTAATTCAAGGATGATTCAGCTCAAAGAATATTGTCCTTCGGAGTTCAATCGTCAACCAAGAGAAATGACGAAATACAATCAATTCAAAGGAACAGAATTACGTCAATTTTTGCTATACACTTCTTCGGCTGTTTTCTTGAATATTGTGGATGAAGAATATTATCTCCATTTTATGATTCTGCGTTGCGTGATGCGTTTACTCGCTTCTGAAAATATGCCCGATTTTTTGTACGACTTTTGTCAATCATCTCTTGAAAGTTACGTTCGCTTGTGTGAAGGATTGTACGGAGAAAAATTTTATTCATACAACATTCACGGATTGTTGCATGCTGTAGAAGATGCACGACGTTTTGGTCCTATTGATAGTTTTAGCGCATTTTGCTATGAAAACAATATGCCTTTTTTTAGAAAATACGTACGAAAACCTCATCTTCCACTTCAACAAATTTGTAAACGAATGTTTGAATTAAATGATTTTTCAAGTGTGTCAAATCAAGACGAAGTAGAAATTGTACCGTCAATGAATCATACAAAAGGACCTCTACTTGATAATATTCCACGAAATTGCATACAGTTTGAGAAATGTGTCATTAATAAACGTGTCTTTTCCACACAGACGCGTAATAATTGTTTCATTTCAAGGAATGATAAAATTGGATTAATAAAAAATATAATACTTATCAACGACAGTGTTTCATTTATTGTACAATATTTTGACGGTATTCGACAATTGTATGATGTTGGCATACCTTCACAATCTGTAGGAGATTTTCATTGCTTTAACTTGTCAAATGAATTACATGAACTACCACTCAATGAAGTAAAGTCTAAATGCTACCGTATACCTAAATGGGACAGCAGGGAAAGTCTGGAGGAAAACGTAATTCCGAATGAATGGATATGCTCAGTCCTGTTAACATTCCAAGGGGTATAGCTGTATAATTTTTTTAAAAATATGATTAATAATTCTTTTTCATAATGCGGTGCAAAAAAGGGCACTTTTTTGCACCTTGTTATGAAAAATATCGTTCGCAACTAGTGCTAGCAGTTGCCAATTTTTTTAACGAGCACTTTTTTTGGAACAAACTGTAGGCGAAGCTTCGCAAAAAAAGTGCTCATTCAAAAATTGACAGCTGCTCGCACTCGTTACGAAATATACTATTTTGTGCTTTAAATTATTAAGAAAAAGTACTATTTATTTTTAGTTTGTTATTTTTCACGAGTAATTGATTTAATGATAAAATATTAAAATATTTCTTATGTGTTAATGTATAAACATGCCACAAATTACTTCAAAAGTTGTATCCTGTCTGGGCAGATATATTTTTAATAAAATAAAAACACTTCAGTGGGTAACTTAAGTAACTCATGAAAAATAAGCGTATTTTTAGGAATTTTTTTTTTTTGGCTCAATGAAATAGGTAATCAAAAATATGTGAAATACGTTTGATTGATATGAGTATTCACATTCAAAATATGTATATATCTTTTTAAAAATTTTATTACAAAATGGCGGTTGTGTATCATTTTTTTAAAAGGCGTCTTTTTTTAAGGGTTCCATGGCCGGACAACTATCGTTCTTAATTTTCGATCTGCAAAAAAAACCAAAATGTTTTCATTTTCTATACATCAACAGCTATTGACTTACGTAAGATTTTTTCGATATTTTGGTATTTCGCGAAATGGTACGTGATTGAACAAAAAAGTGCCCATTTGAAAAAGAATCAAAAAATTGTTGATAAAAATAAAAGTAAGTAATATAAAAAAATCCTAGGTGTCGATAGTTGTTGATGTATAGAAAATGACAACATTTTCGTTTTTTTAGACCAAAAATTAAAGACGCTGTCCGGCCATAAAATCCTAAAAAAAGACGCTTTACAATAAAATGCTGTATAGCCGCCATTTTTTAATAAAATTTTATAAAAAAAACTTATTTTAGACATCAATACTCATGCAATAAAACGTACTTTACAGATTTTTGATGACGATTTCATTAAGAAAAAAATTCCTAAAAATATGCCTATTTTGTCGTAAGTTACTAAGGTTTCCCCTCTTAAAAAAAGAGTCTCTTTTCCAGTGAAAAAGGATGGCGCCCAAGATTCAAAAGCAGTTTGAAGGCCACGGAGCCAAACCACAAAAATCATCCAAGCCCTCAAAACATAAAAGCTATGCATCAAACGGAAGACTAGTTACTGCTCCGAGAAGATATTAGACCTCATCGGATGAACCGTCTCGAAAAAGGCCAAGAAAATCGCTCAACTCTGTACACAACGAGATACAAGCTTTAAGTAGTGGTTATAAAGATAATCCCAAATTTGCTTCATTGTTGAAGTCGAGTGATAAATTGCTTATGGATTCGCATAAGCCAAAGTCTACACCAAAGAGTAATCAATCCTTATCTCAGATAAAGCAAAATCAGCAAAAAACTCGACCAAGCCAAGTGTTAGAACATCCAAAAAAATTGCCTTTACCTAAAAATACTTCTCCGAGCACAGTATCACCATTGCCAGTAGATCCAAAAACTTCAAATGCAAAGATAACGGGAACTATCTCTGAGTCATCAAAAGAGAATGGAAATTCACCATTACCTGATTTGCACAATGAAAACGGAGCTCCTAATACAAGCACCAAGAAAAATAAACCAAAGTCGTCTGACCAAAATCAAAATGTCCCGCCTGTTATTGAAATGAACAAGTAAATATTCATTATAACTTATTTTAGGATACTATATTTTTGTTCTTTTTAAATCAATGTATCGTTTATTTGTATTATATTTTAATTTATTTTATTAATTTGTAGCTTAACCAATTTGTTTAGAAAAATTAACACTTTTTCAAAAAAGAGTATGGTGAAGGTTCAATATTGTTTTAGTTAAAAAAATAATACTGTTTTAAATCGTATAATGAATAAGATACACTTATTATTAAACGCTTTTTTCTTTATTTATAAGATAGATATTTTTTAATTTTAAATTTTTTTGGTTATTACAGAAATCTTCATGCTATGGAACAAAACTCCAATTTTCCTCAAGATAATGTGAACATTAATTCCGGACTTCAAATTCCAGCTTGGGAAAGCAACATTTTAGTTCCCGAAAACGTTCTTCTCGACATTACAACCCGTTTACGGTAAGCCAATTATTAGCTCATCATATATATATATATATATAATCTAATTATTAATAAGGAGCTTTTTTTAAAGAAGATTTAATTAATTGTACAGTATTATAATTTTTTATATGATTATGGGAAGCGTTGAAGGAAAGAGGGGTGGAGCAAGGGTTAGTGGAAAGGATAAAGGAATTTTATGAAGATACGAGAGAAAGGGTAAAAATTGGGAAGAAACTGGGAAAAGTATTTTGGCTGGGAAGAGGGTTAAGGCAAGGCTGCCCTCTGAGTCCATTACTATTTAATGTATTGATGTCTGATTTGGAGGAGAAAATGTATAAAAGGGGTAAAGGCGGTGTTATTTTAGGGAGTAAGAGGATCTTTTCGTTAGCGTATGCGGATGATGTTGTTTTGATGGCGGAGGAAGTGAATGGAATGAAATTATTATTGAACGAGTTTGAAAAGTATGTAAGGGAAAAAGATTTAAGCGTGAATGTTGATAAAACAAAAGTATTAAGATTTAGAAAGAGAAAAAGAAAGGAGTATGAGGTATGGAAGATGAATGGAAAGATAGTGGAAGAGGTGGATGAATTTTGTTATTTGGGATATTGGTTTAGTTATAATGGAAGAGCGGATATGAATGTGAGAATGAGAGTAGAAAGAGCAGAAAGGGTAATGGGTCAAGTGTGGGGAATTGGGAAAAGAAAATTTAAGGATGACTGGAAGAGGAGAATATGGTTGTTTGATGTGTTGGTATGGTCGGTAATGAGTTATGGGGTGGAGATATGGGGGTGGAATGAAATCGGAAAAATGGAAAGAATGCATGAAAGGTTTCTAAGATGGACGATGGGGGTAAGCTGGAATTGCCCGGGATATATGTTGAGGGAGGAATTGGGAAGGGAGAAATTGGTGTGTAGGCAAAGGAAAAGGGTAATGGGAATGGAGGAAAAATTAAAACAAGGAAGAGGGAGTTGTTTGGCGAGAAAATGCTACAAAGTTATAAAAGATGAGGAGGAAGTCAAAAGAAAAGGGGGATCGAAGTGGGAAAGGGACAGAAGGGTAGCATTGGAAGAAGGAATAAAATGGAGTGGAGGGCAGGAGTTTATAAAGGGATGGAAAAGAAAGGATTCTGAGGAAAGGTGGGAACGAATAGAGGGGTCGCGTTATAACAAATGGTATAGGATGGTAAGGGGGGAGGAAATGCCGAAGTATTTAGAAAAGATTAGGAAGGAAGAGAGGTAGAGCAGAGTGTGTAAATTTAGAATGGGGGAAGGTGTGAATGAATGTAAATATTGGATGGATGAGGGGGAAAAGAAGTGCAGAATATGTGAGTTTGAAAGAGAAGATTGGGCGCATGTGTTGGAAAGATGTGTGGGAGGAGGAATGGATGAAAAAAGTGTGGGTGAAAGAGTGAGTTGGATTTTGAACGAAAATGGACAAGGTGAAAGATGGATGTTTGGATTGGAAGAAGCAAGAAAGGAAAGAATGATTGGGGTAATGTAAAATGGGGAGGGAATTTTTTATTTTTGTTGTTTGTAGAACGGAATAATGGTTCTTTTCATTTTATTTATTTATTTATTTATTTATTTACATAATCTTTTCCGCAGTCCAAGATGGACCATACATGGGTTACGAAAAAAAAAATAAAATTAACTATTTAACAATACTTAAGTCTAAAAAACAAAAAAATTAAATTGATAGTAGAATTTGAGAACGACATTGTCAACAACAGTTGTCAATATAAATATCAAGAGCAGATTGGAAAGTTTTTCTAGAAGAGAAAAATAAATCAAGGTCGGGCTTGATTTGTGTGAACATCAAGTTTATGTGGTTGCACGAAAAATACAAGGGTGCGACTTCTGCGACTGCATTTGAGGTCCGATCAAGGTAAAAGGGTTGTAGATTTCTGGAAGCAGGACGAGGAACTCTAAAAGGTATCTGGGCGAGAAGTTGTGGAGCGTTTATTTGGGAATTCAGGATTTTCCATAAGAACAAAGTCGCGTACAGGATTCTGTGTTGGGTTATTGTACGAAAATGAAACCTGTTACACAAATCGAGATAATCACAGCCTTGTCGTGGATAAATTCCATCAGTTTTAAACGCCAAGTACTTTAGAAAAGATTTTTGGATTTTCTCCAGTTCATCATTATATTTGTTGTAATAAGGAATCCATATAAATGGGATATAATTTATTTTAGAAAGAACCAGAGATTTATATAATGCAACTATTGTTGACAAATTTCTAAAATACTTGGTTGACGTTAATAAACATCCCAAGGCCCTAGATGCAGAAGACACTACTTGAGATATTTGATCATTGAAACTTAATCTATCATCGAAAGTCACTCCAAGGTCACATGTACTTGTTACTCTTTCTAAAGCGATGTTGTTTATTAAATAATCACATTTTATGGACGTCTTTGTTCTAGTAAAAGATAAAGAATGGCATTTAGAAATATTCAAGGGAAGTTTATTTTTTACAGACCAATCAAAAATTAAATTTAAGTCAGACTGGAGAAGGGATACATCATCGTAATTTTGTATGAGTTTATAAATTTTTACATCATCAGCAAAAATAAGAATTTTCGAAGCTATGTTATGGTTGATGTCATTTATGTATATATTAAAAAGAGGAGATCCAAGTGACGACCTTTGGGGAACACCGGATGTTGGAGTAAAAGGAGTAGAAAAGTAATTACCGACCTTGACCTGGTGTGACCTTCCCGAGAGATAATTTAACAATAATAAGTGAAGGTTGAAAGGTAGATTTAACAATTTTAGTTTATCAGATAAAATATCATGATTTATAGTGTCGAAAGCCTTTGCGAAATCTAAATAAATAACATCAACCTGATAACCGTTTTGTAATGCTAAGTTAACAAATTGTGTAAACTCATAAAGGTTGGTCGCGGTTGATCGTTTACTTATACAACCATGTTGCTGATCAATTATTACATATGTTAAAGAATTTTGTATTGTGTCGACAATTGCACGTTCAAAGACCTTCGCAAAATTTTGGATAATGGCTATTGGTCGATAGTTCTTTATTACATCTTTGTCACCTTGCTTATAAACTGGGACGATTTTAGCCATTTTCCATTCCCTGGGAAAGTCTCCTGAGGTGAGAGCTATATTAAAAATTGTTGTTAAAGGTTGACACAATACAGTTGCACAATCCTTAATAAGGAAACTTGGAATGTTATCAAGACCTGACGTTGTTGTTGGCTTTAATTTTTTTATAGCATTAAGTACAGTAACACTTGATAACAAAAAAGGTGTATTACAAAAATTATCAACGTGAAAATTATTAACAGTAGTTGGAAGAGAGGTCGTACTTGATCGACAATGGGTTGAAAATAATTTTGAAAATTCGTTGACAATGTCCTGCTGGTTAGTTAATTTTAAATCATCTAAATACATCACGTCAGGTATTTGTACACATGGTTTATGTTTGTTGAAGAATTTCCAAAAATTTTTTGGATTATGTTTTAAATTACATTCAGTTGTTCGTATATATACATAGTAAGCATGTTTAATGTTCTTGTGGATTGATTCTGATAGAATTTTTATTTGATCTTCATAATATTTAGAAGTGTTTTTAGATCGTTTTTTTAATAATTTGTGTTTTAAGTTGATGTCATTTATAATGTGCTGGTCAAACCACGGTGGATATCGACGACTAAATTTAGCATTATTAGAACGTTTAGGTACAAATAAAGAAAAAACGTAATTCAATTTTGATAAAAATTCGTAACAAGCTTCATTAGGGTCAGTGATGAAACTGAGGCACGACCAGTCCATGTCAAACATATAAGCATATAACGCTTGGTAATCTGCTTTCTTAAAATTATAAATTGAATTCGCATGAGGTATATCAACATTATTATAAAATGAGGAAGTTAAAAATCGATGCGTAGAGACAATAGTAGCATTGACAAAAAAGGCTGGGTGGTGAAAGTCTTCTGGTACCAAGGGCAAGTTACCTTCAATACTTGACATTCTTGATTAGTAATAACTAAGTCCAACATTTTTAAATATTGATTAAAAATAGTATTACATTGTTTTAATTGTAAAGTTGTCATAAAATTTTTTAGGATATAAGATTTGGTGTCAAAAGCATTTAAGTGGCAATTGAAATCACCTAAAAAAATTATAGAATCATTATACGTGAGATAATGAAAAAAATTTTTTTTTTCGGATGAAGCCAAAAGGCAAAAGGAACGGAAAACGGAAGCCCGGGCACATTGGTAGAGATTGGACTAATAAATAATGGCGATTAGTAAATAAGTTGCGTAGATATAAGTGCGTTAGTAATAAGGAATTGTTTGTATTTTAGGTTAAGGAACAATGTATTTTTTTTTTTTTTTGAGTCTCGAACCCTACAGTAGTAGGGAGAGGGGCCGTCCATAAACCACGTGGACACATTTGGGGGGGTGAATCAAAAGTCCACGTTTGTCCACGAAGGGGAGGGGGGGTGTTAAAGCAAATGTCAACGTGGACATATAATCAAAGATATTTCCAAAAAAGATATCTTAAGCTTAATCAGAATGATCATAAGTTTCAGTTAATCAATTTCCCTGACAATTTACTGATATTAAAATTAATTTCCCTGACAAAATTCTTTTTACAGGAAAATATGAATGTTTATGGAAAATGAGTAAAATTTATGATTTTAATTATTTTTTGAAATGACAATTATAACCCTTCCTGAATTCAATTATTTTCTACAATTTCCACCCAGTAAAGAAAAAGTATTGGAAGAGAGCGAATAGTATTGTCGGTGAGTTTCTGCCAATACATAAATAATAACTCTGAAAATAAATTATTCCATGAAAGATTGAAAGAATTTCCTGATTTTTAGACAAAACTTTGACTTTTTCCTAAAACCTAAAAATATTTTAGTTTACTCTAAAAATAATTTTGAACTTAAATAGATTTTTTGAAATAAATATTTAATTATTATCCATTATTTTTCCATATAGTAGGTATTCAAATTTAAAAAAAATTCAAATTTTAAATCCTTTAAATTTGAATAATTTTTAAGAATTGCTACTGTAACTTATTAACAATTATTTTCAAAATTTCAATTCAATTATATTCTAGAAATAACTAAAATATTTCTAAAATCCACTTGTTTACAAGACAATTTCATGAAATTTTGAATAATTTAAAAAATTTTCAATTAAATATTAGGTACATATTTAAAAACATAACTAATTTGAAAAAAATGTGAATAAAAATATTTTTAAAAACTGACTTATTCAGAATTTTTAATTAAAATCTTTTAAAATTCAAATTTTCTAAAACTTAAATTTGAAATTTTTTAAAATTCAATCTATAATAATTATTAATTTAACATTCTAAAATATAGAAAAGTTTGCTTATCAATAATTGCAAAAAAAACTAATTGATAGTAATGCAAAATACGATTTTTTAAAAATTTATTTTCTAAAAAAAGAAATTTTATTTATTTTTATATACATTATTTATTATTCTAAAATTAATTTTTATAAATTTCGTATCACTTTTGTTCTAATTAGTTCAAATTTTTAATAATTTTTATTTGTTTTGTTATAATATTATTGCAAAAGAATTTTTTAATTGATTTATTTTTCACTATTCTATAGGATGTGAAATTTTTTCTTATTGAAATTTTTTTGACAAGTTTAATTAAAATTATATTTTGTTTAATTATTGTTAGAAATAGAAAGAATTTAAAATTAAATTTAATATTTTCTTTTTCTAAATCTGTTACGTTGGACAGCAAAATTCATAATTTTCTTATAAATTCTAGAAATTGAATATTTTTATAGTACTTTTTATAAAATTCTCTGACAAAATATAAATAGATTTTATAGAAGATCGTTCAATCTTTTTTAATGAAATATAGTTAATACCTAAGTCTTGAAATAAATATTTTGATTTTTTCTCACAAAATAATGTGTGTTTTTAAAAAAAAATCCAAAATCCCGGTCAAGTTCAAAATTCACTGTCATTTCCCGGTTTTCCCGGTTTCCCGGTCCAGCGGCCACCCTGATTATAGTTATTTTTCACATTATAAAAATCAAAATAACTTGTACTTTTTTTTACTAAAAATTGTGGTATTTTGTCGCAATTATTTTAAATGAGTCGAAAAAAGTCACAATTTTCTTAATTTCCCCGACAAAATTTTTTCCTGACATTTCCCTTACTTTACTGACATTCTTGCTTTGAAATATGTTCAAAAATAATCTTTTTTATTTTTTAACATACAGGAGTAAAAAAAACTTATTTTTTTAATTTGCAATATCCACGTGGACAATTGTATAGGGGGGAGGGGGTTTGACAAATGTCCACGACTGTCCACAACGGGGGGCGGGGGGGGGTCAAAAATTGGTGAAAAATTGTCCACATGGTTTATGGACGGCCCCAGAGTAAATAAACACACACAAATTAATTTTTTATATGATTATATAGAAATGTTGAAGAGCAGAATTTAGAAATCCTTTCCATCGTTCGTACTCTTAAAGAAGACTCCAAAGTAGTAAAGTCAAATTCGCTTTTTGCACCTCCTCAAGGATATCCCTTAAAAACAATCGAGGAATTTAATTCATTCGAAGATGATGACAATAAAGTGAATGCGTTGGTATGTCTTGTTATTGATTATACTTACTATTTGCACTACATAATTCTTCAGTTTACAGCAATTAGAAATAAAAACTAATGAGTTATAAATTCAGGGTTGCCACAGGTCAGGAAAGTCAGGGAATAGTCAGGGAAAGTAAAATTGGTCAGGGAAGTCAGGGAAAAGTCAGAAATTTTTACTAAAAGTACTGGAAAAATTAAATATTTAAAATTCATGAGAAAACTGAATTTTTTTTCTTTTTGGCTAGTAAATTATGAAATTACCTCGAATTTTAATACAAAATCTTCAGTTTTTTCTATTTCTGACAATAGTTTCTTTTTAAATAACTTAATTTTTCAAAAACTATCATAAAAATTGGATTTTGGAAAAGTTATAAATGATTAAAGAAATTCAATTATTTTCAAGAGTTACAAAAATTCTTCGCAGAATTTCAATTATGATCAAAAATTTTTAAAAAATTCTCGTCAAAATTTCAATTATCTTTATAAATAATAAAATTCCTCATTGAAATTCAATTATTTTCAAAAATTTTAATAAAATTCTTGTCAAAATTCCACAGGAATTCAATTATTCAATATTTAATAAATTTCTTAGAAATAATTTTATTATTTTCACAAGTAGTAAAATTTTCACAGGAATTCAATTATTTAAAATACAAAATTTCATAAAATTTTCGAAAAATATCAATTATTTAAAAAGATTTTTATAAAATTCGGCGCAAGAATTTAATTATTTAAAAAAGTGTAACATAGTTCTTTTCAAGAATTCAATTATTTTTATAAATAATGAAATTCTTCACCGAAGTTCAATTATTTTTATAAACTTGAATAAAATTCGTTGTAAAAATTCAATTATATTTATATAAATAATGAAATTCTTCACAGAAATACAGTTATTTTTATAAATTTGAATAAAATTCGTTGGAAGAATTAAATTATTTTCAAAAGTAATAAAATTCTTTACAGAAATCCAATTATGTTCAAAAATTTAAAAAAAAATTCTTGTTAAAATTCCAAGTATCTTTATAAATAATAAAATTCTTCTCTGACATTCAATTATTTTATGAAAATTTTAATAAAATTCTTAGGAAAATTTTAATTATTTTGATAAATAATAAAATTCATCGCAGGATTTTAATTATTTTTTATACAATATTTTAATTAAATTCCTTGATAAATGTAATTATTCTTATGACTTGGGCAAATTTCCCTTTTTTACGGGTAGGGAAATTCTCGTCAAATTTGTTCACAGAAGAGTGCTGCGAAACTTTTAAAAGGGTAGATTGAATTTTTAGTATTTTAAGAGTGGCCGGTTGACCCGCGAGAATTTAGGGGAAATGAAAATTTAACCCTTATGGGGAACTGCATGGGGAACCAATGCAACCCTCGGTGGGGAACCAATGCAAACCTCGGCGCTGCGATGCAGGTTGAATTTTGGTATCGACGTTGAGCGGGGGGGGGTCGTGGCAGTGAGGCGGACGATGGGGGCCTTGCTGCTGACATCGTGGTTAGGAGAGAATTGGCAGGCAGGCGGTGGGGGACCCAGGGCGGCTGGAGAATAGCTTCCTTCCTTCTCTCCTTCCTTCCTTCTCCTTCTGGCTGCTGGTCGAGGCTCGTAGCATGGAAGATAGGAAAATGGGTATAGGAGAAAAATAAGCCGACTTGAGTAATTTCAAGTATAGCCTTTATTTCTTAGCTCGAACCGGTACCTCCCCCTCCAGGCAATGAGAGGTCGGGTACGGTTGTTGAAGTACATAATTCGGTGATCCGCTTATATCTACGCACTGAGCGAAGTCATATTCGCACGAATCGCGTATGCGCACCACACAGCACTTCATGTAATTAATATGGAAAATTGCTTAGCTTTACCGGTAAGTGGCCGAGAACAGGCGCCACCTACGGTGAAAATACCGTAAGGTCGCTCATTTTTCCGGATCGATCAAATAATTAAAAGTGAGGAAAAATCCCTCACGTCAAACCACAGGGTTGATCGATTCAGAAAGATGGAGCGGTACAACCGAAGATTTAACACTAATGTTATTTACAATGTATTACACGTCGATGAGCTGGGACCATTCACCTCGGTCGCCTCTACTCAACCTGGAGCGGTGAGGAGGACTTCCCTCGATGAGCTGGGACCATTCACCTCGGTCGCCTCTACTCAACCTGGAACGGTGAGGAGGACTTCCCTCGATGTCGTTACAGTAGAATTTTCTCTAGGTCTTCCTCGTCGGCGAATCGGAGGATTACTAGACTGTTTCACTGGACCAATTACCGCTGTTTCTTTGGGCATCCTCTTCGGCGGATCGGGGGTGAAATAAACCGACCGCTTGATTGACGCTAAGGTTTGGATGGAGCGGTGCTGTTGCAATGTTGACCGTCTGGATCAACGGGTTTTTTGTGGTCTACCTCTTTGAAGAATCAGAGAGATGCGAACAATTGTAGTGTTGACCATCTGGTTCAACTAGGGTTCTTCGTGGTCTACCTCGTCGGCGAAATCGGAGAGACACGAACTGGATCCTCTGGAGTGGTCACTATCTTTTTCCTCAGTCATCCTCGTCGGCGAATCAGAGGCGCTGCAGGATAGATGTGGGTCACTATGGGATTTGAAGGAGGCCTACTCTTAGGCCGTTCTCGACAACTTGTAATTGTTGGAGAGTGGGGGCAATTGTTGCTGATCTCTGAACGGTAAGAGTGACTGTCCGGGGTCTCGCTGGCCATAATTGTGACTTGTGAGCTTTTGTTGTTCGGCTGATCAGGTTTAGTTCATACACTTGCCCTTGTAGATGACGTATAATAGTGTAAGGTCCTCTTCTTAATGGAGCTAATGAGGCGTTGAACTGCTTTGAAGCGTCTGACAATTGGTAGTTTCTTAAATAAACGAGATCGCCCGGTTTGTAGGGAGAAATATCCGTCGGAGTCGTGGCAGCACTTAGATATTTTACCGTGATTTTATCTGGCTTAAACAACTCTGTCCTTTGGATGTTGATAAGTTGAGAGGGGGATCACCAGGTCTATTTAAATTGTGTCCCTAAAGAATCTCACTGGGTATGAGACCGGTAGCTGCATTTATTTTCTTTACAGCTGTAGTAAGGACGAATGTTAAACGGCTTATGGACTAATAATTTGATTTCGTGGACCATACAATTGGTTTGAGTCAGGGGACCCACAGGGTTAACGGTTTCCCGAAATCGAAACGAAACATTTAAAATTAATGTTCGGTAATCTGTCGGAATGTCAGATACCGTCTTATTGAACTAGGACCAAGATTCTCTACCGAAAAGGAGGGAGTGTGATTTCCGAAATAATTGGTACCTCGGTTTTGTTTTCCAATATGGATACATCGGCGGGATCGGTCGTAGACTACTTGGTGCTCTTCTATCCATGGGATTGGAAATTTATTCCGAGATTAGAAACATCTCTTTTCTAATTCGGTTGTTGATTAGAAATTTTAATCTAAATTACCCGAGAATATTTAGGGTAACTCCTTTTTTAATACTTCTACTCTCACGGTAATTGGTTAATTATTTCAATATAGGGGAGAGAGGTAAGTCGGTAGAGGCCAAACCAAATAGAACTTAACTTGTTTAGTTGTTAAATGCGAACGTAACAAAAATTGGAACGGATGTTTGTAGAGTACATATACTCGAAGATAAACTAATGGGTGGGCAGCAGATCCTTGAGTTGCCCTTTTTTCGCTAGTTTCCCTATTGGTCGGACGAAGTCTGCTGTTCAGGGGAAACACGTTTGAGGCAATCACGGTTTTACCGAATGTGAAGTTTCACCCAAGGGAAGTTGATTTCGAAGACTGCCTGATGTACGTCTTGAGAATCCAGGGATGAGATCGTTGTATGCTGGCGGTGAAGTTCTCTCAGCTGCAGGCGGACGGTATCCTGGAGGCTGAGTTCCGGACGGGCCTGGTGTCGGTTCTTCCGTTCGCCGAGACATCATAGAATGGGGAGGGGGGGTATTTGCAAATCCCGCAAAATCGGATTGATCAAGAAGAGTATTTGAAATAGAGGTATTAGTTGGAGGTGTTCGTTCTACAGGCATTATTTTTCACCTTTGAAACGAAAAAGGAAAAAATATTTTAAAGGAGGGCGCCACCAGATTTAATTGGTCTGGACCATTAGAGGTTTAAAAAAAGAAAAACTCCACAGGGTGGAGAGAAAAAAAAAATTTTTTTAACAATGTGCACCGCAGGGGGTGATTGGAATTTTATTTTGAGCTAAGTCCCACAGGAGAGGGTGACTTAGAATTTTCTACCACAGGGGGTAGTTGGCATTTAATTTTAAGCTAAGTCCCACAGGAGAGGGTGACTTAGAATTTTTTCCACAGGGGGAAGAAATTTTTTAAGAAATAATTGGAAGCCACAGGGGGCGGTTTTGAAAAAAGAAAATTTAATTTCTTCACGAGAGAACATTTAAAAAAAAGAAAAATTAATTTCTTTCGAGAAGAGCATTTGAGACAAGCAGGGTGGGTAAAAGTAACTTTTTTAACTCGGGCCCCACGTTGGGCGCCATTTTGACTTGGGCGAATTTCCCTTTTTTACGGGTAGGGAAATTCTCGTCAAATTTGTTCACAGAAGAGTGCTGCGAAACTTTTAAAAGGGTAGATTGAATTTTTAGTATTTTAAGAGTGGCCGGTTGACCCGCGAGAATTTAGGGGAAATGAAAATTTAACCCTTATGGGGAACTGCATGGGGAACCAATGCAACCCTCGGTGGGGAACCAATGCAACCCTCGGCGCTGCGATGCAGGTTGAATTTTGGTATCGACGTTGAGCGGGGGGGGGGTCGTGGCAGTGAGGCGGACGATGGGGGCCTTGCTGCTGACATCGTGGTTAGGAGAGAATTGGCAGGCAGGCGGTGGGGGACCCAGGGCGGCTGGAGAATAGCTTCCTTCCTTCTCTCCTTCCTTCCTTCTCCTTCTGGCTGCTGGTCGAGGCTCGTAGCATGGAAGATAGGAAAATGGGTATAGGAGAAAAATAAGCCGACTTGAGTAATTTCAAGTATAGCCTTTATTTCTTAGCTCGAACCGGTACCTCCCCCTCCAGGCAATGAGAGGTCGGGTACGGTTGTCGAAGTACATAATTCGGTGATCCGCTTATATCTACGCACTGAGCGAAGTCATATTCGCACGAATCGCGTATGCGCACCACACAGCACTTCATGTAATTAATATGGAAAATTGCTTAGCTTTACCGGTAAGTGGCCGAGAACAGGCGCCACCTACGGTGAAAATACCGTAAGGTCGCTCATTTTTCCGGATCGATCAAATAATTAAAAGTGAGGAAAAATCCCTCACGTCACTTAAAAAATTTATTAAAATTTGTCAAATGAATTCAATTATTTAAAAATTTATTGATAAAATTCTTTATGAGAATTCAATTTTAACAAACATTTAATTATTCAATAAATTATTTATTTTATAATTTAAATAATTGAATTTTTCTAGAATTTTCTAATAAAAATTGATTTAAAAATGAATTAAAGAATAATCGATTTATTATTATTTATGAAAATAATTGAATTATTGCAACGAATTTTATTACTTTTTTTGAATAATTGAATTTTTTTGTGAAATTGTACTGCTTGTAAAAATAATTGAATTCTTGGGAAGGGTTTATTTTAAGATTTTTGTAAATAATTAACTTATTTTAAAAATTTTTTTGGTAATTTAAATTATTACAAGTTGTTGAATTTCAAAAAGTTTTAAATTTAAATGTTTTGAAGAATTTTAATTCGTACAGAAAAATAATAATGATTAAATATTTATTTAAAAAAGAAGTTATTGATGTTTTTGAAGAATTTTACAATTAAAGAAATTTGTAAATAAATGTAATAGAACATTTTTTTTAGTATCTAATAATTTTTAGAGTGAATCAGAATATTCTTTAGGGTCAGGGAAAAAGTGAAAATTTTGTCTGGAAATCAGGGAAAAGTCAGGGAAAAATAAAATTAAATATTTGTGGCGACCTTGATAAAATTCCATGATTTTAAGATAGTAACTTAAAAAAGGTTTTTTATTTTTGTAAAATTTAAACTTTGTTTTCAATTTCAATTTAAGTTTTTTTCAAATTTAACTAGTTTACTTTTTTTTAAACTTTTATGATTTTTCTATTAATATTTTCAAAATTAAAAAAAATGTGTAATGATAATAATTTATGAAAATCGAATTTCTTCTCAAAGTACTCAAAGTTACGGAAATATGGTGGTACGAAGCTAAGAGAAGCACTGAGCTTTGCTTTCAAATCCAGTATGACTGATGAGCTTGCGACCAAATTCACATGGTATGGTGATTCAGGTGATACAAGAAATTTCGGGGAAACTAAAATGGCTTCGCTTTTATATCGTAAGACAAATTAATCTAATAACTAAATATAGTCATTTACTTTAAAACTTTTTTTAACTTTATATTTGATTTTTTTTCAGAGGTGGTAAATAAATATAAACAGTTTAAGGGTCCGGAAAACTTTACTGAATTTAAGTCAGAAATGACAGAAGTTTTAAGAGCGGCGAAACAGAGATACCGAAACTCCTGCAAAAAGGAAAACCGTACTCCTAAAAATAAAAGTAAAGAACGTGTTCGACCGAAAGAACACAATTTTGAAGATTCGGAAGAAAACGAGGATGGAGAAGATCCTACAACTGATCGAACACAGGACAGCGAGGAAGAAGAAACAGATGGTTCTTACGAAGGAGATGATGATGAAGGAGATGATGAAGGAGGTGATTATCTAACAGACGGATCTTACGAAGGAGATCATGATCGATTGCAGAATTTGGTCGAAAAAGGTGAAATAGATTAAGAGAGATTTTTCATTTTTTATATTATTTGAAGGTGCAATTTTTAAAAAGTTGATATATCCATTTAAAAATTGAGATAAGCAGAGATTTTTCTCTATTAATGTTAATTTTAAGAAACAAATTTTTAAAGGATTTTGAATTTCAAAAATATTTTTATCTAACTTCGATGCTTTATAATTTTTATTTTTTTATTGGAAAAAATGACATAAAGATGTGTAAATCCATAAATTATAATAGACTTTAATTACAATTAAAATATCTTAAATACTAAAAGATTTTATTAGAAAGTTGTTAAAAAAATAACTATCATAGTTTGCAGACTAAATGCATATTTAAATTTATTTATCTTTATTGGTTATTAAAATAAGAGTCCAAAAGTTAATCTAAAAAATATATGTAGTTATTAAAAAGTTATTGAAAAAAGATCTATGATAGTTTGCATACTAAATGCATATTTAAATTTATTTATTCTTATTGCATATTAAAATGAGAGTCTAAAAATTAGTCTAAAAGATTATTATTAGGAAGTTATTGAAAAAAGAACTATCATAGTTTGCATAATATGAAAAAGGTTTAAAAGTCTATTTTGTTTTAGTTGATCTTTAGTTTTTTATGTTTTATAATAACTTCCTTATCAATCAAAAGTGAATGACTACGAAGACTGATGTAGACGTAACAGATATAATTATTTATTTGTTGTATTTAAAATACTAAACTGCTTGTTTTGAAAAATATATTTGTATTCGTTTTTTGATTATTTAATTATTGTTACTGTAAGAAACGCATTATTACCTAGATTTGTAAACATTTGTGTAATAAATTATATTGTTCGTAATAAATTACAATTGACTTACAATAAATGTATACCCATTATTATTATAATATTATTAATGTTTTAAGATGGAATATATCATTAGTATCTTTAAATTTATATTTTGATAAGATTTCATGGCTAGCTAAAGTATTTAAGCCCGAAATTTGGTAGACTTTGCTATAGAAAATTTCTACCACATTAAAAAATTCTGTAAGCAACATTAATACAATTTAGTGAATAATTATTTAAGTGTGCCATAAATATGTAATAAACAAGGTATTAAAGCATCTAAAATGATAAAAAAGCTAAAATTTTGGATTGACATTAAGGTAACACACGTGATATCACGCATGCTGCACGCATATGCTGCACGCATGCAATGCATATGCCACGCATATGAGGACACATATGTTTGCACTGTTGCCCTCACGACATAACACGTCGTGCGCTCATAATGCTGGCATGATGGAATCACATTGCTATCTGGGACAACTATCACATAGCCTAAAACTCATATTGCAGTTAGCTTTTCGTCAACTACGAGAAAGTTTGCACTCACTTTTTAAAAGTGTCGAATAAAATTTGATTTACACAAAATTTATGCAATAAAAATATAAAAAACAATTTTGTGCTTGTGTTGTGGGTGACAAGTAAGATAAAAACTATCAAGGAGTAGGTGGACTATAATGAACAGAAATCAAAAGGTTAATTAGCAAGGATTGTAATGTTTGGAGGTAAGTGATATTTATTTTGTGTAATAATATTAAATGACTTCAAATATCACGGGTATTAGGCGTAAAAACCCAATATCCATTGTTAACCCTACATTAAAAAAATTATTTGAATCAAATGTTATATTACTGAGGCAATATTATACCTAGCATTTTCGCATAGTATTAAATATTTTGTATTTAGAACAAATATTATAAATTATTTTAACGTTGTCTCCAGTTCATCACAATAAAAAATTACCGCTGTATTAAATGACAATATTACCTGAATATTTCCAAGCATCGACACTACAATGTTGCCATGCTTTATTGCTTCAAGTCGAATATAACATTTGCAAAAATATTGGCAATATTTGTATGCAATATTAATCTATTTTATTTATTGTTTAGAATGGACAAGAAGATTGTTAAGTGGACGATGTAAAGCTGACAAGGGCCGATTATATCAACATTAAGGCAACATAAAGGCCGATTATCAATATTATGTATTTTATATATATTTTGTTGGAATCTTTTTATTCATGATGTTGATTCAACATCATGAATAAAAAGATTCCAACAATATATATATATATATATAAAATACAAAAAGAAAAAAGAGCAATAATATAAAAAAATTCGAATTAAGTGAGAAACTTAATAATAATGTTTGTTGTAACGTTTAAAGTTTAATTTAAAATGTAAAAACCATAATTGTAAAAGTAACAAATAAAAAATTCATAAATCTGAAAAACGTCATTTTCTTTTATTTAATCCTGCTTGGCAATAAAATAGGCCATAAATATGAAAACACTCCAGACGCTACCTTAAGAAATCTTAACCCTACATGTACGTGCTTCATTACACGGTGGTCTTCAAGCACTTTTAGGTTTACCTAAAATGAGTCAAAATTGTGCTAACGCAGTTTTATCTAGAATCGTCCCAAGATTCCAAATTTTCATTTCCGAAAATCGTAGCTGATTCTTTTTTCAAAAAAAACATATATATGGACAATTCCACGTGAGATTTAAGTCCATCTCTTAAAATCGGCCAAAAAATATTTTTTTTCTATTCTGTATCGAATCAAATTAGATTTGTATTTTTTTATTTTTGTTTAATTGTACAAATTTTCGAGTTATGAATTTTTGAAATTTTTGACTTGTAATTGTACATAGACTTATATTCAGTAGCTTATAATTACGAAAATATTGAGTTTAGGAAAAAGTTGTCAAAAAATGAAAGTTTTAGTTTTCTTTTGAGTTTTAAGAAATGTAAACAAAAATTTTTTTTTATAAACAAATTAATTGTTTTTAACTTTGGGCCGGATTTTAAAAAAAAAATTTTAAATTTATTTATACCTTATAATATAGAGGAGAGTTTCCAAAAAGTCCCGAAATGGGCCTGATGTGTTAAACGAGTTTTAAAACATTTTCAAAAATCACTTGCAAGCATCACATGGGATATTTTTACAATTAACTTTTTAGAACTGTCTGCAGCGTATAAATTTTAATCTATTTGTGTTCTTTGTTTTAAATTAATGGGTCTACGCTGTAGATAGTTTTAAAAAGTTAATTGTAAAAAAATCCCACTCTCGACTAAAATCTCAAGTGGAATTTCCCATAGGGTAATGTCACCTTGAGTGGACCGCCTGAGCTTTTAAGTTATCTGACAGCGGAAACGTGAAATAAATAGTGCGAATAGCAGCACCGCACCTAGAAACCGTAAGAAATTAAGTTCCGCGATAATCATACACGGAAAAAGTATCGGCACGTCAGATGTACAGGTTGTGTCAAATTTTCTTCTACATTTATTTTGCACGCCATCTGTGCCAGTTTGGCGTATCTGACGTGCATTACGTACGTTTGATATCTCGAAATGGCACCTCAGACGTGCAAAATGAAATGTACTGCTGTTGACACTGTCCTTGGCGCATCTAATGTCCCGGAATTTTTTCCGTGTATACGTTACCGTTTGATGTAACGCATTTTTGAGAACACAAACCAAAAAAGAAGTCGCTCTTTCAATGAGTAAAGTGATTTGGAAGTGTAAAAGTAGTGTAAAATTTAAGTTTTAAAAGGTAACTTATTTTTTCCTACTACTTTGGACATTGAAATTGATTGTCTTAGTTTAATTTAGTGATAATTTTGACAAAAAAAAATTGTGATGGCTGCCATAAAAAGTTGTTTGTCACCATGAGTGGACCACTGTTTATAACCATGAGTGGACTGCCTGTTTTTTCCATTTTTAATGTCAGTTTAACATTTTTTAGATATAAATTAACAATAAATTAGTTTGAAACTATGATTTATGTTCTTTATTAATTTTTTTGTGATATTGATGTGATATGTGACAAAATTATTAAAAATGGTTTCACTTGTAAACATTGCGACACATACATGGTCTGAAGCTGCATAAGCATAAATTTTGTTTCAATATATCAGAAATATTAAATACATTAAAGAATTTAGAATAACTTTTACAATTTTTTAGGAGTGGTCCACTCAAGGTTACACTTTTTTCATTCCTTAAAAATTAGCTTTTTTTAAAAGTCAATTGTTTTTTCCAATAAAAGAAAATCAAAGCTATTATGGCATAAACACTTATCTAGGGATTTAAACTAAAGCTTGAAATAGAAACCTCCGATTAATTTGCTTTCATAAAAAATTTTTTAGAAAAAAAGCGTAGGCGGTCCACTCAAGGTACCGTACTGACTCTCTCCTAATAATTTTTATTTGCTTAATTCGAAGATAATTGAATCTAAAAAAATTATGATAAAAAAATTCTAATAATTAAGTAGTTTTTAAAAATATTTTCATGTACTTTTTCAAAAACAATTGAATTTCAGCTAAACTTTAAAATTGTTCTTTGTACACTTAGTTTTGAGGAAATTATGATAATAGCGGAGAAAAAAATTTTTGAAAGAACTTATATCGTATTTTCTGAGAAAGTGCTAAAATCCAATTTTGTCCCACCCGTGGGGCAAAACGGGGTGGCATCAAATAACTATACAAAACATGGAATATTTTTTCAAAGTTCATTAAATTCTTGTTGTATGAGATGAGCAATTCCACGCCAAGTGATCATAAGAATTTTCGATGATTTTAGCAATATTAAAAATATTTTCAGAATTTGTTTCTTTTTTATACCTGGAATAAAACTGAATAAAAGTTTTTTCAAAATTTTTTGAGTTACCTATTACTGAAAATTTTGGTCGGTTTTTCAAAAAAGGCACATAACTTTTTTTCTTGTTAACAGATTAGAATAATTTTTTTTGAAAATACTCATAATAAGAAGTACTTTAAAGAAAAAATAAAAATGTGAAAAAAAGTCATTCACTTGTTCGACTTATATGAAAATGGCGGCCGTTTTCTCCCATGGGCAAAAATAACGCATGGGATCAGCTGTTATGTTTGCCTCTTGGGAGAAAATGGACGCCATTTTCATATGGTCGAACAAATGAGTGACTTTACTCCCTGTCGTCAGCTATCTAAAAGCGCCATTTTTGTGCATGTGGGATAAAAATTTTTTTAC